CGCAAAAATTAATGGTTAAAAGTTAAAAAATATTGAGCTTATGTGCACTTATTACTCGTACACAGTATTTAAAAAGAGTTTTTATTTTTTTTAGAGACACGTACTTTTTTCGTTTTTTTTCTTTTCCCTCTCCAGAGGCAGGTTTGAAGGCTATAGATTGTACTGACACAATTTGTGGTATAATTCCTCATTACGAGCATAATATTTTATTCCTCCTTTTCTTCCGAAAACAGTACATCTGGTATGAACTGCATTTCTAACCTGTTTTCAGTTTTCAAGTCAAGAATAAAGGAAGTTTATTGATCATCAGTGCAATCAATTTTTGTTGCATGCTTACAAGTCATGCAGTGGTATTTTTCAAGGAAAACACTAGTAAGCATAATTTCGGCATTTCATGCTAATATAAGCACATTTAAAAAAAAAAACCGGCATAATTTTAGGCATCATTTCAGAAAAATACGAGCACTACCCAGTGGTGTATTCAGATGCCATTGTCAAGAGCACAATCCAGCAAAAGCTGAGCTATGTGCAAACGGACGCAATAATTACCAACAATGCGCCAACAATGTTGTGTTCTGTTGCGTCCGTGCTGCAGTGTGTGCAAAGGGATGAAACGACTCCTAACAACACGCAACATAATGCAACAGGGTATGCAAACGGACGCAACATGTGACATCCAACAATGTTGGGAGTTGTTGGCCAACAATGTTGAGTCCATTTGCACGGTGCTATAGGTGGGTAATTGGCTGCTTCTCAGTAAAGTTTTTACGACAAATGTCTTCTAAAAAATGGCGCCATTTTTTCTGCTGTGCTTACTTAATTTTTGGCGCGGGGATTATGTGATGCATGTTAGTCACGGTTCGTAGTTTGACTATTTTAATTGAAATTGTCATTAAATGAATATGATCTATCTTTGTTGTAGACTAAAAAGAGTAAGTCTTGATGTAAACGAAAAGGGAGAGCTCCAATCGTTTAACACAAGAACACCTTAAGAGTGCAACAAAAGGTACATCGATTCAAGCAGAGGTATTGTTTAAATGTATTGCTTTGCGGCTTATCCTTTTCTGTCCCAAAGTCAATTATCGAGACAAGTGTTCTCATTTCATTTTAACATGTGTGGTCGGTGGATCAAATTCTGCTGCCCTGTGATCATTCAACTAAGACATTGTCGACACTGTTACCACATAGCAGTATTTTTAACCAGTTAAATCTCTTTCACAAAACTGAATTTTGTACTTTAGGTCATTTTTTTTTCCGGCTTGAAGCAACGTTACAACGTTGAAAAGATGTTATTCCATAAACAAGGCGCCCTGGACTGCTCTGGTGGTTCTCTGACACGAGTACTTTAATCAATTTTCTTTAAGATTCACATGCCGAAGACTCGAAGTGATTTAAAAATGCCAACTCTAGAAAAAAAATGCCTGGTGACTTATAGATTTAGCATTTTCACAGTATCTTCCTTTTCTCTTCAGTGTTTTGAGGTCGTCGAGCGCGAGTATGGAAATTAAAACAGCGGTGAAATAAATTGACCTGTAGCGCAAGGGGGTGGGGGTGGGTAAAGTCTCCTTTTCAACTTCATTTTAATTTTTTTTTACTGTTGGACAGCTCACTCCACTTATTGGATACTGCAAACGTACGATCTTTCAAATCGTAAACTTATTAGCAATGAAACAGATATTAAAATAGTGTAACTGGAGAAAAGACACTCATGCCCCAGTTTTGTGATACCTTTATTTCATTTTCGCTTAATTTTGGTAAGTACCGCGATAGCTATCCCGAAACTCGACGTTTACCAGTATTACTTCTAAGCAAAAACAGGAAAAAATACCAAAATTCAAAAAGGGAGGGGAAGCCTAATCTCTGGTGCTGTTCGTTTTTAAGAATCGCTGGCATGTATACCCCCTCTCTGCCGGGGGCAGAGAAAGATACCTGGCCAATTTAGGACAGCTGTACGCTGGAAGATTCACGAACCCTTTTAAATCCAAATATTATTAACTAAAGGCAAAAATGATAACTAAAAAAACATAATAAATTGAGCCAACACTTAATCAATATTTTTTTTTTTTTAGCATAGCGTTATAGAGTAACTTAGATGATTTTAATTTTTTAACTATAAGTTCAGGTTTTTAAATTACAGGTTATTTTAGGTTACTTTTGAGAGGACTACAGAACCACAGAGGTATTAGACCTTGACACATTGAAAATCATGCCAAACAGTAAGCTACACTGAGCATTATAGTTAAATTTAAAAAACCGGCCACTCCCCGATAAGTAACGATAAGTGAAGTACTTTTGTAGGTTGGGGGGAAGGTCCATAAGGTCGTCAACAAAGCCTTGAAGTTATCAAAACAAGGCTTAGTACATGTTTCATGTGAAGAACATGAAATGAACTAGAACATAGCTAGAGCTAATGACTTCCAATAAGTTAACTGGGGAAAGTAGGAGTCGTTCTGTAAAAATTTCAATTTACTGGAACATATTTATTAATATAAATACATACATTATTTAACATCATCTCGGCTTAAGTATCTCGCGAAAATGCGTGCTTGTCACCAGTTATCTCTGTATCTTTTCACTTGCCGATTTCTTATTGTTCAACATCAAAATCCTCTTTTTCGCGTACTTTGCATGATGCGGGTAAAAAAGGAAAGAAAGGAAGAAAGATAGAAAAAAAACATTTTGTTTGAAGGCGCTGTTCTGAATAGTTGCGAAATTAGCGATGCATTAATGGCAATATGATAAAATAATTATAAGCAAGTAGATGATTAAAGCCATTCCCGACGTCAATTATGTTATCTAAATAAATTAGAAGGACCTAAAATATATAATAAGAAAAAAAAAATGACAAAAACTACACAAGACGTAGGAATTTTTTTAAAATGACCAAAGTCAATGCTCATGGCATAACGAGCGCTAAACTCCTTGGACCGGATATAAAGTAACCACATTCTGTGTAATTTTTTACCTAGATATTTTATTAATAATTAATGGTTAAAGGTAAAAAGAGGTTGAGCTTATGTACCTAATTTCTCGTACACAGTATTTAAAAAGAGTTTTCGCGTAATTTATTTCGCCGAGTTTTGCAATCTTCCTTTAGCCACAGGGCAATAGCAACAAGGTTCCATAAAATACTGACAACAACTTAAAAATAACAATAAAAATGGTCATAATGCGTGTTTCAGCTACTCGAGTGTAATTATTGATTAACTTGAAGTATAGCAAATAATCCTTTGAAACAGTAATTCTGGTCGTGCTGGCTAGACATCTCCTTTGGCGGTCTTAAAACGCGTTCAAAAACGATGCTAAATTATAAACACAATTATAAGAGTTTAATAAAAATCTTGTTTTATTAAAGCGCAAACAATTGTATAATCTTCAGGTTTTGGCGTCCAAAGCAGGATCTACATGTAGACGATTCTTTTAGGTAAGAAGTTAATTTTGACTGTTTCAGTATTGAGAAGTCAAAAGTTCGATTAGCATAGTTCGACATTTTTTTTGTGTGTGAGTATGTGTGCCTTAGATAAGTTTAATCCTTGAATGTAAATTTGTTGTAGCTTATAGAGATAAAGAAAGAATCCATTGTAGTTCCATATTACTGTTTAGCCCTTCCCTTTAAGTTATTACCTCTCTAAACCATTGTTGGTAACGAAAACAGTTAGTTTGAAAAGGTAAAACATAGAATTATAATTCTGCAATCAGCCCACTGAGCATTTAGCCCCTGGTAAAGGACATGTGAGGACAAGACGCGGCAAAGAGAATGTATTTTGACCTTGGTTAGTTTTAAACCTTCACCTCCTGTTTAGATGTTTAAATGTTACCTACTATTAAACGTAATATCGATCCTTCTGATTCTTTAGACGAATACTTTTGAAACTGCTAATGTTAAGAGCTGTAGACAAAAACTCGGGTTTAGGGAACGGGAGGGTGTACTGATTATACACCACGAAATTCGACTAAAAGACGAAAAGTTAGGTTCGGAATGCGGCTTAATGTCATTTGCCCATTAATTTTTAGAGTTTGCTGTTAAATTGTCCAGTTTTATAATGTTTACTGTTGCCGAAAAAAATACTGTTAACTGCTTGGAGGGTTTTTCGTTTTTAAGTTTGTTTGTCATTTGTTTTTGTTTTTTTCATTTAAAAAAAATTCCGGATTTCCCCTCGGAAATCGTCGGTTGTTCTTGGAAATCTTCGGTAGTCTTCGCGAATCCTCAGCAGTCTTCGGAAATCTTCTGAAATAACCGGAATTGTCGCAGAAGAGGGTCTGGGTGAACTTTGGTGTTAAGCGTTATTTGCCCATAATTTTTAGTGTTTGCTGTTAAATTGACCAAATTTTTAATTTTTACTGTTTCCCACGAAAATTCTGTGAACTGTTTGGAGAATATTTCGTTTCTGATTTGTTTGGAAAATTTTCAGATTTCCCCTCGGAAATCGTCGGTTGTGGCTTGAACATCGTCGGTAGTCTTTGGACGTCTTAGGCAGTCCTCGGAGTTCTTCGGTAGTGTTCGGAACTCTTCGGTAGTCTTTGGAAATCTTCTGAAATAACCTGGAATTATCGTAAAATGGCCAAAAGGTGTCTGATGTTCACTCACACCAAGATACCTGATATGCCTCAAATCTTAATTTTCATGTACGGTCAAATTATGGCAAACACTACAATTTATTTTTTAACAAGCGCGCTCGACGGACTTTGAAGAGAAAATAGAGGGTCTGTGAACAGGCTAAGTCCTAAAAACAAAACAAAAGAATGCCATTAATTTTGCGTAACTCTCAATTGAATGTTAACTACGTATAATGACTATTTCACATTATCACTTATAGTTGACATGACACCTAGCACACATATTGGGTATTTCTATTCATAATACAGCGGTGGTTAGCTCGAAAGCTAAGCTCCACTTATCACCGTATATTTCTATCAAAGCCATTAATTTCTTCCTTTTCTTTTTTCTCTAACTGATCTGTAGGGTTATTATCTCTGTTTTACAAAGCCCTTAGAGTAAA